AGGTCCCAACAAAGACTGAGCAGATTTTGAACGGAGATCCAAGCTTGACGCAAGAGGCAGGAGCTGTGTGACAGTCCTGGAGATGCAGATGGAGGAGAGGTGACCTGCGTGGTCAGTTGTTTTTTTCTAATTGCAATTGGCAGCTTTGTAACCTCTGATTCCCACTCTGTGCAGTGAGAAGAGGAATCGTTACTTTCAGACCAAGTTCCCTCCACTTAAAGCCTCACAAAGCATTTATCACAGTAGCTCCGTTTTCTGGGCAAGCACATACATACCTTGAGTTTAGCTCATCATGCATTTTTAAGAGTGAGCACAGTTTTTACACAATTGGCTACACCTGAGGCTCACTTACAATGCCTTTGATTACTATTTTTTAAAATATTTATGCAGCAACTGTGCATGCCATGCTGTGGGTAGTATTGACTTGATTTAACCCTTGGTTTGTTTAATGGAATTGTGTTAGACCCTAGCACATGAATGAACCTGAGTGTCAACTCTGTTTGCTCAGCTCTCTAAATAGAGCCGTTGCTGCATCATTGTCTCTCTGCCCCTTCAAAGTTTCGTGGAAAGTCCTGCGTGGCTTCCTGCCAGGACTCATCCTCCTCCTCAGGCCTTCAGCTGTCCCCACATTGTTCTCCCTGCCAAGGAGAGCGGTAGTCGAAGAGGGACTGAATAAATATAGTGTTATTCTTAACAGACCAAATACTCTGTTGGCTTTCAGGATGCGGGGTATTTAAATGTTGGTAATGTGTCTGTTGTCTCCCAATGAATGGAATTTTCAGAAGCTTCCTCTTTGCAGAAAAATCTCCACTAAAACCAGGTCACCAAGGCAAAGACATCAGTAAGAGATACAGCTATCTGGAATCTGGAACATGTGTCATTTTTCCATAACTATACAAATACTTGTCAGTTACAAAGATGACCTTCCTGTTTTCATTTCAGGGATAGAAATCTACCTCAAAAAATAAATTATCGCCAAAACTCATTAAATATAATTATAGTAGTGCATGTCTACCAAGCGCCAGCTATTATTTGCACTGATATGTTGTGTTGATCAAATGCTCTTGTTGCCCAGCAAACATAGTCACTTGACAAGCATCTGAGGACACCTTCTTGGCTCCACGGCTGTCCCGTGGGGGCTGTAACATCACTTCATAGCACCACTGATAGACATTGTGATCAGTCCGTGTTTCATTTACCCTCCTAATCCTGAGGGATGACGTGCCCCATTTCATAGACCAGGAGCCGGGCTCAGAGAGATGACATGGTTTGGTCAGTGACACAGGATTCAACGACAGCTCACATTGTCTGGTCCTCATCTTGTTCTAAATCATGACACAGTATTGATGGATTCATTTAATTATGTGTCTGAGTTAGGCACTGAGCACTGATAGGCAGCGTGGTGGGCTCTGGGGATCTCAGGTTGGCCCTAAGGATGTAGACAGAGGTGGTAGACCTTGAGGCTCCCTGGTTGGGCTCTGGGGTTTGACGGGGTGTGCCTGAGAGCAGTGATTTTGTTAACCCGCTCATTCCCCCCAACCTCTGGGCCCTGGGTGTGTGACCCAGAAAATTGACCTCCTGTTGTCTTGGCCCTGTTTTTCAGTTCCATGCGCTCTCCTCGCCTCAGTCTCCTTTCCCCCACACCCCCACCTCAAGGCGGGCCTTGCACAGGACGCTGTCGGATGAGAGCATCTACAGCAGCCAGAGGGAGCACTTCTTCACCTCGAGGGCCTCACTTCTGGACCAAGCCCTGCCCAACGACGTCCTCTTCACTAGCACGTACCCTTCTCTCCCCAAGTCTCTTCCACTGCGGAGGCCTTCCTACACCTTGGGAATGAAGTCGCTGCATGGTAAGTCTGTGTTCAGCTGCAGCTGAGTAGGCCCGCTGGTGGTGGCCAGTGTCAGAGACGCCTGGCATTCACTTTGCTCCGAGAATGATAGCTGGAGGAAGTTCTGCTAGCGTGCTCAGGTTATCTTGGCTCACCAGTACCTCCTTCATTTAGCCTCTCACCAGTAATCTCAGACCACAGGGGACAAACATTCAACCTCACTAGACCATAAGAGTCACCTGGGATGCATGCTTGTGTGTGTGTGTTTTTTTATTTAAGGTATAATTTGCATATAACATTATAATTCAGGTATTCAACATAATGATTTGATATTGGTTTACATTGCAAAATCATCACCACAATGAGTCAAGTTACCATCCATTGCCATACATAGTTACAAATCTTTTTTATTTTTTTGTGATGGGAACTTTGAAGATTTACTCTCCTAGCAACTTTCAAGTTGCAGTACAGTATATGGTAGGCAAAAGTAGGTTTATAATTATTCCTATAGAAAATAATACAATCTATAATAATAAAAGCATAATATGCTAATTAGACCGGACATCCTTCTGGGATGTCCTTCCAGACGAAACCGGGGCTGTGAGGGAAGCCCAGGTCCCGGGTGCCTGCCGGCAGCCACAGAGAGAGAAGCCGGATCCCAGGTGCCTGCTGGCAGCCGGAGGGAGGGAAGCCAGTGCTGGCAGCCGGGGAAGGAAGGCCTACTCTTGGATGAATTTCGTGCATCGAGCCTCTAGTAGTCAATAAGTAGTAATACAAGAATGAACTCTGTTTTGCGTACTCACACCTGTAAACCTACTTGTGCCCCACTGTAGTCACCATGCTCTATATTCTCATGACTTACCTTTTTGTGTCAGATTTTTTTCAATTAGCACAATGCCCTCAAGGTCCAGCATGTTCTTGCTAATCGCAAACTTTTATTTTTATAGCTGCTAACTATATTCCATTGCATAGATGTCACATCTTCTTTATCTGCTCATCCATCAGTAGACACTTAGATTATTTCCACATCTTGGTTATTGCAAATAATGCTGCAGTGAATATAGGGGTGCTTCTGTCTTTTCAAGTTAGTGTTTTCATTGTCTTTGGGTAAATACCCAGAAATAGAAGTGCTAGATCATATGGTAGTTTTATTTTGAGGAACCTCCTTACTGTTTTCCATACTGACTGCACCAATTTACATTCATACCAACAGTGTACAAAGATTCCCTTTTCTTCACATACTTGCCAACACTTATATCTTGCTTTTATTTTTTTCCTAGAAATTAATATCTTGCCTTTTTTATAACAGCTATTCTAACAGGTGTGAGGTGATAGCGATTTGCATTTTCCTGATGATTAGTGATGTTGAGCATCTTTTTATGTACCTGTTGGCCATCTGAATGTCTGGGGGGGGGGGGGAGGGAGTCTATTCTATCCTCTTTGTCATGAGATTGTTTGGGTTTTGAATTGTGAGTTCTGTGTATATTTTGGATATTAACCCCTTAACGGATATATTATTTGAAAATATTTTTCTCCCACTTCTAGGTTGCCTTTTCACTTTGGTGGTTTCTTTGCTGTGCAGCTTTTTAGTTTGATGTAGTTGCACTTGTTTTATTTTTGCTTTTGTTGCCTTTGCTCTTGGTGTCAGCTCTAAGAATTCATTGCCCTAAGTGATTTGAAGGGGTGTACCTAAGAGCTGTGGGTTATGAAATTAATGCCTATGTTTTCTACTAGGAGTCTTATATTCAAGCCTTTAATCCATCTTGAATTAATTTTCGTGTATGGTATAAAATAATGATCCAAATTCATTCTTTTGCATGTGATTGTTCAGTTTTCCCAACGCCATTTATTGAAAAGACTCTCCCTTCCCCGTTGTCTGTTCTTTGCTCCTATGTTATAAATTAATTGACCATGTATCCTTTTAATGTCTTACTGAATTTGGTCTGCTAATATTTTGTTGAGGATTTTTGCATCTATGTTCATCAAGGATAATGGCCTCTGATCCTTTTTTTTTATGGCATTC